AAATGGAAGTTGATACCGAAGTTCCATATGTTCGAACACCTAGGGGAGCGACAGTGCTTCATAAATCCAAGGCAGTGCTGGACGTATTCAGATGAAGACAACCAACGCATCATTAAAGCGTTGGGCTTGAGTTGCCACCCAAAGACAATTGCCGCTGTAGTTCTATTCAAATGGCTCATCCAGATGTTCGAGTAATGGCGTGTCACGTTGCCTTCACTTGCGGACGAAGCAATGCACTCAAAACATCAGCAGCAATAGCAGCCACAACAACATCACCACCATCAACACCAACACCAACAGCAACAACACTAACAACAACACCAACACCAACGACAGCACCAACAGCATCCACAACGACGACAACACCACCGACAACAATCACATCAACAACACCACCAACATCAACACCAACACCAACACCACCAACAACAACAACAACAACAACAATGACAACAACACCAACAACACCATCAACAACACCAGCAACGACAGCAACACCAGCAACAACAGCAACATCAACAGCAACAACAACATATACAAATACAACAACAACACCAACAACAACAATGACAACAACAACAACAACAATAACAACAACAACAGCAACAGCAACACCAACAACAACAACAACAACAAAAACAACAACAACAACAACAACAACAACAACCACAACAACAACACCAACAACAACAACAACAACAACAACAACAATAATAACACCCTCCGCCTGCCCCCAGAGGCTCGGAACGTCTCCAGTCCACTTCGAACGTCCCGCTCGCTGGGGAACCAGGCGAAGGGGGGAAGCCTCGAACCTCCTCAGGTAGAGGAAGAAGAGGAGGAGGAGGAGGAGGAGGAGCAGGAGGAGGAGGAGGGGGACGGGGAGGAGGAGGAGAAGCGGGAGGAGGATGAGGACGAAAAAAAACATGAAGAGGATAAGGAGGCACAGCAGCACAAAGGGCAGTGCCACGTCGACTCGACGACGGCGGCCCCCCAGGAGCGCGGCCCGCCCGCCTCCCGTCGTCGTCGTCGTCTTCCTCCTCCTCCTCCTCCTCCTCCTCCTCCTCCTCCTCCTCCTCCGCCTGTTTGCCCATTTCCTCTTGCTCCTCCTCCTCTTCCCCCCTCCTCCGCCTCCTTTCCCTTCCGCTCTTCCTCCTGCTCCTCCCCTTCTCCTCCTCTCACCCTCCTCCTACCCCCCCTTCCTCCTCCCTCCTCCGCCGTAGCAATTTTGGCTCAAGCTTTGTTGGATGGCGCGGCTGCGTGACCTCGACGGCGTCGGCCGTCGGGCACTCGGGAGTATCCGTGCTAGGTTTCCATGCTTCGTAACTTCCCCTGAAATGATTGCGGGGACGCGAGCTTTCCACGAAACCAGCGCCAACCGCGTCAATTAACCTAACTATGTTAGAAAAAGGGGCGGGTGTCTTTTTTCAAGTGCTGAAACCATTGAAAAAGGTAACGTTTCCATAGATTCGGGCGCATGTGTCTTTCTAGTTTGCAGATGCGTCTGTTTCGTGGCGCGTGCGTCTGTTAATCCACGCGCGTGTCTCTATTCAGACGCTCTCGGTGGTCGGGGGGAGGGCCGGGAGGGCCAGGAACGCCGGGCGGGCCGGGAACGCCGGGAGGGCCGGGGGGGCCGAGAGCCAGGATGGCTAGAGGTGGTTTGCGAAGAGCGTGTTCGCAAACGACACATCGTCTGCAAGGGAGACAGCAAAGGAGAAGTAGACAGAGAGGAGGCGCTAAAGAGGAGGAGGAATGAAAGGATGATCTTCTCTCCCTCTCATTCTTATTCTCTCTCCCTCCTGATTTCTCTCTCTCTCTCTCTCTTGTGCTCTCGTATCCCTTTTCGTCGATTTAGTCCCTTTCAGTGGTTTTTCGGCGTTGACGTCCCTTTTCGCTACATGAATCATTGTTCGTCGTTGTCGTTTTCGTTGTTTCTTATGCTTCTTCCTTTGTAGTGCCAATTTATCCCCTGTGATGGCATGTTCATTATTGTAGTTTGTTGCGCTTTTCGTCGGTTCGGTTCCTCTGAGTCCTCTTTCGTCGTTCGAATCCTTTTTTCGTCGTTCGAGTTCATGGTCGTTGTCCTCATCCATCCCTGTTTGTTTCCTCAGTTACCTTGTCTCCCGCTTTGGCGTGCGAGTCCATCATTTCAGTTTTGTCGTCGATTTTGTTTATTTTGGTCCCTTCTCATTGTGTGAGACCATTTTCGTAGTAGTTGCATGTTCCTGCAGTCCCTGTAATGTCCTATTCATCGGCGTAGCCTTTTCGAGTCACTTTTCTTCGGTTCTGTCCCTTTGAGTCCCTGTTCGTCGGTAACCTCGTTTTGCATTGTTTGAATCCCTTTTCGTTGTTATCGTCCCGGTCTCTTTCTTCTGTCCTCTTTGGCCTTGTGTTATTTGGCAGTGAATTGTGATATCAGGTTCGTCCTTGTAGTTCGTTCTGGTGGAGGGGGTACTTTGCCTTCGAGACGGTCGAACTCTTGCGGGCGCTCTCCCCCTTCGCGGCCTTCGTCGGTGGGCTCGCCTCCTGGCTCGCCCACGCCGAGGTCGTCCTGGGCGTCCACTGCAGCGGGCCTCTTCACAGCACGCTTCCTGCAGCCTCCGGGGGCGCCCACCACCGCCTCGGCCACCCCAGCGCTGCCCCGGCTTTCCACGCCGGAGCCGGGCGAGGAGGCCTCGATCCGCGGCGCCGCTCGGCGGCGCGGGAGATGTCAAGCAGTGGCGAAGCGTCCTGGCGTGCTTATAGCCCCACCAAAGAATGTTCTAAGGACCTTTCGTGGTTCCCACGAAATGTTCTTAGATCATTTCCGACCAGGACTGTCTTGTTTTTACACATCGGGCATCTGTTCTGAGAACATTGTTTTTGTTCTTAGCACGTTTTTTGAGTTCTAAGAACATTTCGTGGTAGGACTATAGAAATGCCAGGACGGTCGGTCCCTGCTCAAAGATGGGGCATCGAGGATCGCCTTCATGCCCGACCCCTCGGGCTCCGCCTTCCTCGGAGCTGGAAAGATGGCGATGTTCGGAGTCTGCCTTTCGCGCTGCCCCGCGAACGCGGCCGCGAGGGTCGCCATGCCCTGGGGCCGCTCTGTCTCCGTCACTCCCCCCTCTCCCCCCCTCTCGATCCCAGTTCCCTGTGACGGGGTCAGGCTCGAGGTGAGAGCTTAAGAAACGAACTATGGGGGCTCCGATCGGTTTCGAATGCCTGCCCTGTCTGTCTTCCGTCATACACGTGTTGTTTGTGCTATCTCTGTGTCTCTATAAATGGGTTGCTTTTCTTTTTTGTATGTATATAAGTTGCTGCGGTTACTGTCTCTCTCTCTCTTTTTGTTTTTCTCTCTCTCTCTCTCTGTCTCGCGTGGAGGGGGCCGCCAGCCGGAGCGCGGTGGTTGAGGGCGCGCCCGCGCCAGGCGAATAGTCTTCCTCTTCGCTGGCTCGTCGGCGGTCGCGCGTCGCAGCGCGGGCTTTTTATTCCTTCTCCCCCCCTCTGCTGTCGAGCCAGGCTCGCCCGCCAGAGTTTCTCCGAAGGCCTCTGTCTCGGCATCGCTCTCGGACGTGTGCGTTTTTTTCCTCGGCGAGGACCCTCGAGGAGCATTCTTGATCACTTGGCGAACAAAGCACGCACGAAACCGAACAGAAACACAGGGAATGGACGCCCGAGCGATGGCCAGCTGTCCAGCGGCCGCGCGCCCGTGCGCGCTCGCGCGGCTGCCAGCGGCGGACGCGGTCGCGGTTCGGCCCGACGGACATGCCACGGGAAACGCACTGCGGGACGGGAGTGAGGCCCCAGGCCAAGGCGGGCGCGCTCGCCATCTGGCGCCCTTACCACGCCGCATCCCTCACCATATGCACACGCACGCACACACATACACAGATGTATGTATGTATGTATATATATATATCTATACATATGCATACACTTCTTTTTTTACTTGACAGCGCGGCAGAGGCAAGCCGCACGCGCGTCCGAGAGACGCCGGGGCGACACGCGCGCGCGCACTTTTCAGTTGGCGGCGCAGGGGGACCTCCGGCGCGGTCGGCAGGCGGAGGTGCCAACTGCGAGCGCTCTTAGTCGAACGCACCATGATGGAACAGCCCAGCCATGGCCATGTCGAAGGTGGTGTGGCAGAAAACGAGGGGCGTTGTAGTGCCAACGTGCAGCGGCCACAGAACACCGGAACATAAGGCCGACGTGGGTAAGTAGGGACGGCACACACTCACACATTCACATGCACACATTTACACGCGCACTTTTGTTGTATTTTTCAGCGGGGCACAGGCTGTCCGCAAGCGCGTCCGAGTGACAAGGGGGCGACACACACAGACAAACGCAAACACATACAAACACACAACACACACAAACACATGCAACCACGCAAAGACACAAACACACATACACACACAAAGACACATGCGCACGCACACACGCACACGCGAAAACACACACACACGCGAACACACACACACGCACACACACACGTACAAACACGCACACACACACACACACACGCGTACACTGACACACACACACACACGCACACACTTGTTTTGAGTCAGCGGCGCAGAGAGTCATGAGGCGCGAGATGCATAAGGAAGCGCCAATTGCGATCGTACTTTGTCGAAGGCGCAGCGTACAAACCGTGCACACTGTCAACTGCAGGAATGGGTTGTGTGAAAGAGGATTCACACACACACACACGCACGCACACGTACACACACACGTACACACACAAACACAAGCGCAAACACATTAAAACACGGACACAAACACAAGCACAAACACAAACACAACCACAACCACAACCACAAATACCACACACACACAACACACACACACAGAGAAACTACGATTCTCATGCGACGAACCGGGAAATGGAGGGGGAGAAGAGAAGGCGGGGAAATACGAGCGCGTGCTGGGACTCCCGGGCTCTGTGCTGGCTTGCTTGTGCCCCCCCCCCCCGGGGCCCCTCGAGGCCGCAGGCGCCCTTTCGAGCGGCCGCCCAGGAGATCCGGCTGCACGCCGCCGCGATGGCCGCGGCGGCCGACGCGCGGAACAGCGGCACCCCGCTGTACGCCGACGGGGGCGAGGACGCCACGCCGTCCCGCCGGGAGGCGCCCGCGGGCCGGGCCGCCCGCCGAGGGGGGCTAAGTGCCTGTTTTTCTTTGGATTCGGGCAAGTTTACTTGCATGGACGGGGGGGGAGGGCTGAGTCTGAAGCAAGCCGAAAACAATTCGACGTGCGGAAATCACGCAAGTCGAAAGGCACTTGCACGCTCGTGTTCGATTGAAGAGGGGCGAGGGGGGAGAGGGGGGGGGGGGGGGCGAACGCCATGCAAGTAAGCTTGCCTGGATCTAAAGAAAAACAGGCTCTAAAGCAGGGCCAGGATCGGGATAAATCGCTCCAGAGCGTTCCGGAGCGCTCCCAGAGCGTTCCGGAGCGCTCTGGAGCGGCCGCGGCGCCCAATGCGTCCTCCAGGCCCGCCGATTCTCCGAGATTTCGAGTCATCCTGGTCCGATGTTGTCCCGATCTTCGCGTCGTTTCAAGGGCCCATCTCGACGTCACGGTAGAGTGACCCCCTTCGCCGGAGTGGCCTTTGGGTGCGGGCGCACCAGGCCCCCCCCCGATCGCCGAGCGCGGTGCGAGATGCGCGGCCCGCGCCCTTGGTTTGACTCCCTCGCGCCCCCAAAAGCTGCGCACCGAGGGTCACTCTTTGCCAGGGTCACCCTTACGTCTAGCCGACCATCTTGTTGGAAGCGTGTTGGGAGACATCTTGAACCATCTTGGGCCAGCGCTGGACACTGTGAATTCTGCTCTGTGGAGCATTCTCGGGGCCAGCCACCTGTGGCCATCTTGGACGCTGCCAGGGGTCCCTCCCCCCGATCCAGACCCTGGCGATTGGGCGTATGGGGGAGGGTAAAACCTTATCAACCCTTCCCCAAAGGGACCCCCAGACATGCTCGCGTCGTGACAAACATGGGGACGGAAGGTATTGTTTTCGCGTGGGGCCTCTTAAGACGAAGCCAGGACGAGGGAAACATCGTGTGAGGATGAATCGAGAAGCTTAACACGAAGCCAGGACGAGGGAAACATCTTCTGAGGACGAGTCGAGAATTTCTGAGGTCTTTCGGCTCGGGAAGACGTATCGAGCACCGCGGCCTTCTCAGAGCGTTCCGGAACACTCTGAGAGCGTGCCTGAACGCTCTGGATATGGATTTATCCTTGTCCTGGCCCCGTCCTGCCTCTCGGGTCCCTCGCCCATACCCCGGACAGTCAAAGAACGTCTCAGGATGCTGAAGCCGGTCCGGGGGAACAGTTCGGGAGATTGACGGCGCGCAAAGGGGGGTAAGGGGGAGAGGGGGAAGGCTTCCTAGTAGGAGGCTACTTCTTGGAAGGCGCGGGCCTTGTCAAGAGATGTGGGGCCCGCGCCTTCTAAGAAGCAGCCTCCTTCTCAAAAGACTTCCCCCCCCAGGCAGGAACAGCCACCAGGACCAGAGAATTGACGTTTATTAGACGGCCTAGGGCGTTTACTAAACAGCCCTGTCCTGTTCGATTCCTTCCTTGGGCGCGTTTACGAGACGGCTGCGCTCGTTGGGGTGATTTTTAGGGGGATGTATTTTCTGCTCTGTAGCCTAGAGGAGGAGAATCGGGGATCAGGAGCGGCGGACACCTTGAGATCCTGGCGCTGCACTTTGTGCAGTCGTCTTCTCCCAGTGTTTCGGGCCCCCCAGGTCCTCCCTCGCGGATCGCTGCGACTCGCAAATCGACGCTGGACGATGGGGTCCAGGGCTCCAGTGGTGACTTTTTGCGATGTTGTATTTTTTCGGCGTCACCCCAACATACTAATTCTAAGTGTGCGTCGCCCCCGCCGGGGGCGACGCGCGCACCGACAAGTCTTGTAGCATATGCGTCTTGGCGGGCGCTTTCTGGCCACGCCGCTCGGGAAACGACATGCTCCAAGATGGGCGCACTATATGTTCGGGTCGGACGCGCGCCTCCAAGGAGGACATATAGCATGAGCATGTCTCTGCGCGTCCCATTCGTCGGTGGGGGGGCGGGGGGGGGGCACATCATAGCCGAGGGCGCATCCGCATCCGCGCCCGTGCGGTCTGGGCTCCGGGGCCCGATCCCGCGGACGCGCGGTCGCGCGGATGCTTCCCGCGCGGGGCACCCGCGCAACAAAACACGCCCCGTCTCCGCGGGGTCACATCCCAGGAGCTCGGGTCGCGAGGCCGCTGAGAGCGGGGGACCTCGGCAGCCACTCGTGGGAGCCTCGAACGTTTTGGGAACTCCGTGGTTGGAATGCAGTGGCGTGCGCTGCGTCTGCTCGCGCCGATGAACTTGTGCCGATGTAGCGTCGGCTCGCGTCAACTTAGCTCGGAGCCAGAAGTATGTAACTTTCACTGGTTGTTTGCGTTTTCGATCGTAGGTGCTGAGTCGAATTATTACCCGGCGCGCTCTTCGTTTCGCTGCTTGCTGCCTCCTTGGAAGTGTAAGCTAGGCGAACGTGGCCATCGCAAGATGCTACCAGCCTCCTAGAGAGCGAGTCGCGCGCTGTAGATGTACTTTCGCTTATTGATGGAGGGCGACGTGATGCACGACGATCGGCCCTTGGGTTGGTTCGAGCGGCCCCCGAACAGCAATCGAGGCCACATGTGCCTCAATAGTCGCGGCTTAATCCCGTTCAATCAGCGCGTATTTCAAGGCTTCCCAGCAATGTCGACGGGAGCCATCACGCCCAAGCGAATCTGTGCACCGTTCTTCTCCGCGGGCCCTCACGCGCACCATGCCGCAGATCGGTGAGCGCGCTCAAGCGAGGGTGCGGCCCTGCGTCGATCGGCCCGCCGCCTCAGGGCGCGTGCAGCGTCCGCCCCTGCCAGGCCAGATCGGTGAAGTGAGAGGTCTCGTGGTTTCGGCGGGCCGAAACCGCAAAATGTACTATTTCACTGGTCGCGGGTCTAGGTTGCGTCTCTGTCTGGGGCGGACGCGAGTGGTTCCTTGCGGGCTTTTGCGGGGGTTTCGCTCTAGGGCGTATCGGGCCTCTCCTGGGGCCTGATGCGCTCTTCCCCGGGTTCCCCTGCTGGCTCTCCCGAAGCCCCTGTGGAGCTGTTGGGCCCACTTGCGTCAATGTGGAAGCTCCTGGAAGCTTCTCGGCAACGCGTTGGGGATCTCTGGGTTTCACCCAACGCCCACGGTCGTTTCTCGGCACATTCAGGCTGACGTGGAACCGCCCCGCAGTCCCTGGCCGCCCAGAGAGCCGGCATTGGAGCGTTGGCGGCGGGCCTTGGCGTCCACATGTCGTGCGACGCCGTGTTGGGCGCTCCTTCGAAAGGCAAGCTCGGTCGATTCGCGCATATGGCGTCGCGTCGCGCAGATGTCGGCCTCCTCGTGATCAACGATCACATGGGCATGGGGGCCAACAAATCAAAATCTACAGGCCGACCAGCGAAGTATACGGATTCTTGGCCCGTGGCATCGATTGGGGTCGGTTCGCGTCGATGGGCCTCGGTTGGGTCAGCGATGATTCGCGAAAGCGTGCAGGAGGGCGCCACGCCGTCCAGGGAGGCGCTTGCGGGCCGGATTGTCCGCCGATGCGACTCGGGGAGGTGGAGGGGGGAGAGGCCCTCGAGATCGGAACGCTGCAACTTGGAACCAGGAACCACGAGGAGGAGGAGGAGGAGGAGGAGGAGGAGGCGGAGGAAAAGCAGGAACGGGAGGAGGAGGAGGAGGAGGAGGAGGAGGAGGAGGAGGAGGAGGAGCAGCAGGAGGAGGAGGAGGAGAAAAGAGGAAGGGCAAGGGAGGGCGGGAGGAGGAAGGGACAGTGGGGGGGGAGGGGGGGGCAGGAAGGGGGCGAGCAGGGGCAGTGGCGAGGGGCGAGGGGGCGGAGGAGGAGGTGGGGGAGGGGGGGGTGGAGGAAAAGGGGGAGATGGAAAAGGAGGATGAGGAGGTCGAGGAGCGGGGGAGGCGGAGGAGAGTCCGTAGCATTTGGTGTGTTATGTGTGGGGGGGGGAGGATGGTGAGGAGAGGAGAGATGAAATGTGACCGGGTGGAGATGGGGGAAGGTCTTCGTCAATACGTAACGTTGGTATATACATACATTGCATTTGCGTCTGATTTTTCTACCGTATAACATCACGCCCAGACGCCCCCACACAGATTTGCAGACTCCCCCCACACGCCAACACCTTCCTTCCAGAGCCCTGAAGACGTTGCCAGACAACCCCCCACATGGTCTAGGATTAGGAGAGGTCCTGCCCTGGACGGGCCCCAAACCGCCCAAGCCTGGAGCCTGGAGACAGGGGTCAATGCAAAAGGATGTCAGCCAGAGCGCCGGCTCTTCCAGGATCCTGCAAAGCCAGAGTTGCACTGCCTATGGTGGGTTCAAGCAGCGTTGGCGCGCTGGCGACGCCGGCGAAGGCTTTCAAGTCGGTCTTCAAGAGACGGGGGTCAATTCAAACGGGACCAGTCAGACCGCCGGATTTGGCAGGATCCTTCAGAGCCCTGGGTGCACTGCCGCGGGCTATAGCCCCAGCCCCAGCCGGCTATGGCGCAGGATCCTGCAGGATCTCGCAGGATCCTGCAGCGCCCGACTGACCCAGGCTTGCATTGCTCATGGGTCGCCATGCGGGCCTCCGAAACGCTCGGGAGCCGCGCCGGATTGCCTCAATAGACGGCTCCCAAAGAGTCGAGGACGCCTCGAGCAGCGACCCAGAGGACCCCCAAGAGGGCGCCACGAGGCATAAGCCATTGAGGTGGCTGGTGGTTCTTATGATTCTTTAGGCTTACGCCACACCGCCGACCCCTTGTTTTTTGTTGGAGGCAATCTTGGACGTCTTGGGGGCGTCATGGCCCGACTTTATCCCCCGCGTTCCTATCGTCGTCGTCTTTGCTCCTCCTCCCAGTAGTCGGCCCATCCCGCCACCGTGCCTGAGTTGTGGTTCAGAGGCCCTTCAGATTTAGGAGATATTCAAGATTCGGTGCGCGAAGTGCAAGAATTTCTTGAAGACGGAGGCGGAAGTGGCGGCGAACCAGTACGACTCGAAAGATGCGGGGGAGAGGCTTTGCAGGGCGTGCGCCCGCAACGAGAAGGGTGGGCGGAACGAGAAGGCGGGTG